CACCCTCCGCCCCCTCCCCATCCCCCATTGTCCTCAACCATAGGTGCAGTTTATGTTCAGTCTCTTCCTCCCTCCCTTTCCCGATAGTAAATCCCTTTTCAGATAGTAAATCAGTTACTTAGCATTTTCTCATATCAATAATACCACCACATGCCCAATGATACATTTCACACAAAAGACATTTCCAAATAGGTCAACCAGCCTCATCCAGGCCCCACCCAAGGCACTCACAGATCAACACCCCAGCCCTATACTAACTCAATACATCCAGATCTAAGCCTTCATCACTTGATTCAGCAGACCCTCAAGTTCCCACAAAAGTTTCCAGCCATGTCTGAGAGGCAGCCGTGGGGCAGGGGCAGGCAAAGAGAGAGCTGTTCCGGGCCTGGCCTCCGTTGCTCTGGTTCGTTCCACAACCAGCTGCTCTGGGTCTGGTCACCTCTGCTCCCGACCTAGTTGCCCTGGACCTGGCTGCTGCTGCTCCGGGCCTGGCCGCTCCCAGCCTGGCAGCCGCTGCTCTGGGCCTGGCCGCTTCCAGCCTGGCAGCCGCTGTTCCGGGCCTGGCCGCATCAGACCCACCTGCTCCGGGCCTGGCCGCTCCCAGCCTGGTGGCCGCTGCTCCGGGCCTGGCCGCTCCCAGCCTGGTGGCCGCTGCTCCGGGCCTGGCCGCACCAGACCCTGCTGCTCTGGGACCGGCTGCCCCGGGCCCGGCCGCTCCGAGTCTGGCCGCTCCCAGCCTGGATGCTCCGGGCTTGGCTACTGCTGTTCTGGACCTGGCTGCTCCCAACCTGGCTGCTCTGGGCCCGGCTTCTCCGGCCTGGCCACTCCGGGTCTGGATGTTCCTGGACTGGCCTCCCTGGGCTTGGCTGCCTCCGCCTCAGGCCTGGCTGCCACTACCCCAGGTCTGGCTGCTCCAGTGCTGGCTGTTGTTGCTCTGGTTCTGGCTGCTGCTGCTCTGGGCCCGGTTGCCATTGCTTTGTGCCTGGGCACTCTAGGCCTGGCCGCCGCTGTTTCAACATTCTGTCCTTTTTTTTTTTTTTTTTTTTTTTTTTTTAACGCATTTATGTTGCAATGTTGGCTGGTGAGTTGTGTTCTGACTTAGTCTTTGAATTTTCAAGATCTTCTTTGTATTCTTTCTTAATTTTACTATCTTTTGCTCTCACTTGATGTCTTCACATTGAGAACTTTGGTTTCTTCCTCATGTCCTGGGAGCTCAGCAGGTTGGCCTGTGGCACTCCTTTGTTCTCCGTGGGCTCCCGCGCTGCTCCAGCCTGTTGCCGGGGTCGGCGCCGCCCAGGAAGCAGCCCCCGGCCTTGACTCCGTTGCCTGCGCTCAGAGGTCCATGGCTCAGGGGCACCTCCCACCCCTGGGGGCCCCGTCACCCGGCTCCCTGCCGGCGCCCGGCTGGCTGGTGTCTGGCAGGGGCTCCTGCTCCCTGTCGCATTCCTCCAGTCTGGAGCTTTTTTTTTTTCTCCTTCCCGCTAGGGGAGTCCAGGATCAGAGTCAACAGACTGTCCTCTGCGCGCAGTGCGCGCGACTCTGGGGGCTCCGCTTTTCGCCACTCCCCTGGGATTTCGCCTCACAGCCCTGTCTCCCCCTGCCCAAGCCTGGGTCCCCAGGGTCTGGTCCAGGACTGGGGTTCAGAGCAGTCCGGGCTGAGGCTCAGCGCCGCCGGAGGCTTTGTTTCTTCACATTAGGGTAATCCAGCATCAAAGTCAACATTCAGTCCTCCGCACACAATGTGCGCGTGACTCCGGGGGCCCTGCTTTTCGCTGCTCCTCTGGGATTCTGCCTCACAGCCCCATCTCCCCCTGCCCAAGCCTGGGTCCCCAGGGTCTGGCTCATAATTGGGGCTCAGCGCTGCCGGTTCGGGGGGTTAGCCCAGGCTGGGGGTTTTATTTCCTTCCTGCTAGGGAACGCCAGGCAGCACCCAGCCCTCTCCTCCTCTCCGGCTGCGACCTCTCCGTGCGCAGCATGTCTCCGTACCTTAGGCTTTTTTTCAGCTCCTCTGATTTTCCTTCTGGTTTTCTCTTTCCTTCTTGTTGTAGAATTTTCAGTCAGTCTACTACCTGTAGCTCTGGGTGATGTCCACTCTACATTTTAGTTGTATTCCATTGAAATTGTTGTGTGCTGCTGCGGTTAGGTGTCTACCCGAGCAGCCATCTTGGATCCTCCCTCTATTTTATTATTTTAACATCACTTATAAAAATTCATATGGAAGTTAGTTATAATTTAACATATAGTATGTACATTGAATTTGTACTTCTTTTCAAATTATCCAAGTTAGTTAGTAAACTACTAACTACATAGTGTACAAAAATGTTTATATTAAATTCAAATATTTTATATACATGCTTAAGACATATCAAGGTAAGGATTAATTTAGAGGTAATTTGTCCAGTATAGTCAGTCATAAAGCAGATTGTTGTTAATTACTTGGAGAGCATATTTGTTTTGCTTAGAGTGTATTTATATATTAGTTTTATAGTAATCGAAATATTAAAGTAGTTTTTTATCTTAATTTCTAACCTATTTTTATGCTGGTTAGAATTATTAAATGTTGTGTCATAAATATCAGACATCACATTAATCTATACTGTCATTAAATGTAAAATGTTTCATAAGAGAGAAATTACAACTCAGAATGACTTTTTGAACAATTATTGATAAAATTTTGTTAGTACACTGAACTAGATCCAATCTTTATGTTATTTGGTATCACCAATTTATTCTTTCTTCTGTAGTAGTTGCTTTATTATCTCAAGAGAGTCAATAACCAAAGTATAATAATCAGTCATTTAAAATAAAGATGACAATATATGATCAATCACTCTTACTACTATAACATAAACACTATAAATTAAATTCTTAGTATTAAATGATTCTAGAAACCAGAGAAAATTTTGTCAGTATGTGCTTCCTGGAGTAATATGCTTTGAGGCGCTACATAAATAAAATGATAAATGACTAACTTTCATAGCAAGTCAATTACTACTCAAAAATCATGTCTTCATAAATCACATGGATTATAATTCATTTCATTATTTGTTTTTAGCACTTTTTAAAGAGCTATTATGAAAGACAGCTTTTTTATTTATAATCAGAATAGAAAAGTGTTTGTAAAACTTTGCCAAAAGGTATAGCCTAGATTTACGGCCCGCGGGCCACATGCGGCCCGCAGAGGAGTCTGATCCGGCCCGCCAGGTTTTTTGGGCAGTGAGCGCAGCCGAGGTGTTACAGTAGGAATTAGTAGTTCATATAGTCCGGCCCTCCAGCTCTCTGAGGGACCGTGATCTGGCCCCCACTTTAAAAAGTTTGAGGACCCCTGGCCTAGAAGTTATGCAACTATCTTGATTCTTTCACTACCTAAGTCTTTTTTTCTTCAGAAAACTCTTCGCCTCCTCCCATGCTCCTCTGTATCATAAAGGAAATTACTATCAAGTTTTAACTTGTTATGTATGTCCCAACTTGAACCACTTCCTATTATCTCTACTGTTAAAACTTCAGCCCAGGTAATCCTCATCCCTTTCTTAGCCCTCTCCACTAGATTTTCCACTGAGACTTCCCTGCCTTTGTTGCCCTTTTTATAGTCTATTCCATAAGCAGAAGCCATATAAACTTAAAGCATAAATTAGATTATATTCCTCTTCTGCTTAAAACTTTCTCTTGGCTTCTCTTTAAAACTGAAACAAAATCCAAATACTTTACCATGGCCTGCAAGGCTACTCCCATCTTCTAGACCTCATCCCCCGTCATTTTCCCCTCTGTCCCACCAGCAACAAACCCGACTCCACTATCCTCAGCTTCAAACTGCATTCACATATTTTTTCCTGTCCCTGGAACATATTTCACAGTCCCTGCACATCTGTTTACTCTTTTTGGAATTCTTCCCTTAAGCCTCTCATTGCCTTCTCATAACTTACTTTCCTATTCAAATATTGCCTTCTTAAAGAAGTCTTAAGTCTTAAACACACTAAATAGACTTCTTTCAAGACACTGTATCCCTTTATCCATTTAATATTTTGTCTAGCATTTACCACTGTCTGATTTAATATTAAGTACACAGTTGCGTCTGTGCCCTCATTTCCTCTGTTTATTATAGGATCTTCAACATTTTCAGAAATATCTGGCAGATGGTCATACAATAAACATTTTTTTGAATGAAAGAATGACAATTTTTAAAATGGACTGTTTTCAACTCTATCACTTTAATATCATTTCACCATTTCTACCTTTGCTTCCATGGTCTTTTCCTAGTCCTAAGGTTCTATTATGACTGTAAATAAAATTGACTGTCATAATATATCTTTAAAGCAATGCTAAGAAACAAATGAAATGGATTATACTCCAGATTATGAGGATGAGGATGAGGATTGCCTGGACTAGAGTTTTAACAGTAGAGACAATAGGAAGTGGTTCAAGTTGGGATACATATCAAGTAAAAACTTGATAGTAATTTCCTTTATGATATAAAGGAGCATGGGAGGAGGCGAAGAGTTTTCTGAAGAAGAAAAAAAAGACATAGGTTGTGAAAGAACCAAGAAGACATACAATTTCTGAGTAGTAATTGGCTTATTGTAGAAGTTAGTCATTTATCACTTTATGTAGCACCCTCAAGGCATTTGACTCCAGGAAGCATATACCAAAAAAGTTTTCCCTGAAAAACTTCTTTCTCCTCTGATTCACCTTCACTTTGATAATTGTCTTGCTTGTCTTAATCTAGCAGTTTGAACTTAGTTATATTGCGGTTGACTTCTAAAAATAAAATAGCCTCAGTTGTTTTTGATAAGAATTTGCACTTCCTGAGACCACTAAGAAAGAAAATTAAGAAATTTTCCGCGGTTTTAAGATTTTTTTTTTTCATACACTAAAACTTCTGATTCTAATGCAATCTCAATCACAAAATGTGTGTCTTCTTAAGGGTATTAAAGATAAACCAGTTTCTTTCTGACTTTACACAGGTGATGACAGGAATATAATGTGCTTTGTTTTTCTTTCAGATCTCCAACTAAAGACATGGATTCGGAAGAGAAGGAAATTGTGGTTTGGGTTTGCCAAGAAGAGAAGATTGTCTGTGGTTTAACTAAACGTACCACCTCGGCTGATGTCATTCAGGCTTTGCTTGAAGAACACGAGACTACATTTGGGGAGAAACGATTCCTCCTGGGGAAGCCCAATGATTATTGCATCATAGAAAAGTGGAGGGGTTCCGAACGGGTTCTCCCTCCACTAACTAGGATCCTGAAGCTCTGGAAGGCGTGGGGAGAGGAGCAGCCCAATATGCAATTCGTTTTGGTGAAAGCCGATGCTTTTCTACCAGTTCCCTTGTGGCGGACAGCTGAAGCCAAATTAGTACAAAACACGGAAAAACTGTGGGAGCTCAGCCCTGCAAACTACATGAAGACATTGCCACCAGATAAGCAAAAGAGAATAGTCAGAAAAACCTTCCGGAAACTGGCTAAAATTAATAAGCAGGACACAGTTTCCCATGATCGAGATAGTATGGAGACCTTAGTTCATTTGATTATTTCCCAGGACCATACTATCCATCAGCAAGTCAAGAGAATGAAAGAACTGGATCTGGAAATTGAGAAGTGTGAAGCTAAGTTCCACCTTGAGCGGGTGGAAAGTAATGGAGAAAACTATGTCCAGGATGCCTATTTAGTGCCCAGTTTCAGTGACGTGGAACAAAAGCTAGACTTGCAGCATGGTGAGAGCCAGATTCTGGAGGACCTGAGCAAAAGTGATGGAATCCTGCAGCTGGAGGAGCAGCTAGTATATTACAGAATGCTGATCGATAAGCTCTCCGCTGAAATTGAAAAAGAGGTGAAAAGGGTTTGCTCTGAGATCTATGAAGACGTGGGAGGGGCAGCTGCGAGTGAACTTGAAAGCCTAAACTTAGAAAGTGTTAAGTGTGATTTGGAGAAAAGCATGAAAGCTGGCTTGAAAATCCACTCTCACTTGAGTGGCATCCAGAAAGAGATTAAGTACAGTGACTCATTGCTTCAAATGAAAGCAAAAGAGTATGAGCTCCTGGCCAAGGAGTTCAGTTCAGTTCATATGAGCAGCACAGATGGAAACCAGCTGAAGGAAAGCAGAGGGAAGGAGCCCGAGGCCCCCAGCAGTGGCGGGGAGGGTCCGCCCTCCACTCAGAGACTATTGAACGTGTACACGAACGACACAGACTCGGACACTGGCATCAGCTCCAATCACAGTCAGGACTCGGAAACAGCCGTGGCTGATGTGGTGCTGCTGTCAACATAATGGGAATGTCTTCTTTCTGACCTACTTTAGTGTTGTTCATGCTTGTTTTATTTACCAGGGAACCTTATTTTAAATATTACATGCTGGGGGGAAAAATGTAAGTCCTGTTAAAACACTCACTAGTTAATAAAAGCTAGAGAAATGTGTAAACTTGTTTTTGATTAAGATATCCAAGGTGACCTAACTATTACTAGCTCAAATGATGAACTGTTGATTAGGAATGCAGCACAAATAGATTACTGAGAAATAATTTTATGGGAGTTATAACCTTCCATAACTTCTATGAGAAATGCTTTATCCATACTTAAAACAAATTCTTAATATTAGGCAGTCAGTATATTCAAGCAACACTCATGAACAGTTAAAATGCTATAATAGGTTTTTTTGATGCTATATTATTAAAATTGTTATATCTGTAAAATGTGTGATAGGCACTCTACTGTAACTATATTAATTCAAATCTTGATTCATCTCATTGATAATTATACATTATCTTTGTCACTTCCTGAACCCCTCTACCCTTTAAGACTTAATCAATAGGAAGTGGGAAGGGCTGCTGGTGGGACCTGTACAAGGACCAGCAGTGGATCAGATGGGGATAAAGATGAGGAAGGGTCAAGGACTGCATGCAACAGCAATTTTTATTTTTTTATTTTTATTTTTGTAAAGAAGCCTGAAGTGATCAAGACATAAGCATATGCTTTCTCTAGCTGGCAATACCAGTCTTCTGATTACACCAATGGTCTGTGCAGCTTCATTCTTTGAAGGAGGTATGGTGTGGGTTACAGAGAAAATCACATGGTCTTAGTCCTGTTTGTTTACTTCTTGCTAAAGTTGAAGGGATGCAACTCAGTCCTTTTGAATGGGTACAATAGAGTCTATTTTATCTGTGAACATGCGGAGTGCAGAGGAACTCACATGGACAAAAAAACACATTTATTCTGCTGTACTGTAATTAGATCATCTTCGTTGTACTTCACCTAAGGTGCAACCTAAAAAAAAAGTACTAGCTCAGATCCCTACCCCGAAGCATGCTAGTAAATATGGAACAAATAAAATGATTTTTTTTTTACATCCTGCCTTGACTAACAATCATTATAGTTCCAGTCTATACTTGTTTTTTAGTTTAAAAGTTCCTGCTTTCTCCTGTTCTCTCTCTTTCTTCTCTCGCTCCCTTGTTTCTGGCCAATGAACATGATAAATCATATTGAAACAATTTTATTGTACTGTTAAATGAATACTGCCACCGTTTATTTTTCTTTAGCTGACTTCTCTTATATGCCACTACACATGTAAGTAGAAATGTTATTTTACTTACATATGAAAAACTAATAGATGAATATTAGTTAAGGTTCCCAGAATTTTTCATTTCTTCTCTTTTGTTTTTATGCTTACTGAAGTGCATATTTTAATTGTTTTTTAGTGTATTTTTTTATTCACCCATCCCCCAGACCTTTCACCAATCTTTGGGAAAATATTTAAAATTTCACTTTGAGGAGGAATCTATGTTATCGATTCTTGCACCAATATATTACTAAATGCTTTATTTGAAGCTGACTGGCAAGAAAAGTAGGAATTTTTTGTTTCAGAACAAATACAGTGATAAAGAGTAAGTAATAATGCTAACATGGGTTCATTTTATTTTATTTTTTAATGAGAAGGGATTGAATAGTCATTTAAAAAGGGGTAGTTTATCTATGTAATAAATTATTTAGCAAAATGGTAAGCTATTGAGATAGTGTTATTTTTTCTGGGAATCAAGTTTGGATCATCATCAATGACAAATTGTAATGCTTTTTCTAAAGTGAAAGTAATCTCTTTGTATTACACTTCAGTGAAAAAAATAATCTAAAAAAACTTTATCTGCTATAAATTTGCTTACTTATCTGAACTAAAAATATATTCTGATATAGAAGCAGGACCAGACAGATCATTTTATTTGAGAAACTTTGATTTAACTTTTGCTTTTGCACAGTGAAGCACGATGATGCATTCTAAGGACCAATTCTTCTGCATTTTTACAATAAGTAATGGTAAAAACTTATCTGAATGCAGTACAGTTTGTATTTAAATTCATTCTAGATTTTTTCATTTTTTTTTTTTTAGTTGTGCAAATATATTTCTACTTTTGGTTTATTATAATTTTAAATCCCCAGTTAGCATGGTGAGTTTCTAATTTAGAGTAGTATACTACAATAGTACAAATAAAAATAATAAAATGCAATGCACTCATCTCTGGAAACTTAACCATTCTTTATTAAACTAACAGAATTTAAATTATGAGTATAGAACTTGATAGAAAGGTTCTTTTAATTCATTATAAAAGTTTTATTTTTTTTAATATATTTTATTGATTTTTTTACAGAGAGGAAGGGAAAGGGATAGATAGCTAGAAACGTTGATGAGAGAGAAACATCGAGCAGCTGCCTCTTGCACACCACTTACCGGGGATGTGCCTGCAACCAATGTACATGCCCTTGATCGGAATCGAACCTGGGACCTTTCAGTCTGCAGACCGACGCTCTACCACTGAGCAAAACCGGTTTCGGCTCATTATAAAAGTTTTAAAAAAAAGTGTTTATAAATTATTAAAAGGTTAACTATGCAATTGCTTTATGTAACTAGAATCAGCAAACAAAGCTGACTAGTCTTCCTTCCTCTAACAAAAATTAGATTTTCACCTACTGTGCTTTGTCTGTCATTCCACTTAGAATGACTCTTTCCCTCCATCTGCCATGTACTGAAATCCTACCTGTCCTCAGTCAATAATGCTATCTCTTCTAGGAAAGATTTATTACATTCAACCAGTTCAAATGTTTTTTCTCTCTCTGAATTTATAAACATTTTAGGTGTACTATTTAGAGAGGAACATTCATATTGTGGCTTAGCTTATATTTACTTATGAATTTATCTAACTTCCTTCCCTCAATGTATTCTTGATTGTCTGTTACTTTGTCTTTTATCTTGTTAACCTACTCCCTCCAGTCAACCTCTTCACCCCTACTTCCCCTACTTAGTTTTTGAACTGAATTTTGAAATTTTAGATTTTAAAATTGCTAAATTGTAACTTTAAAAAAAATTACACATAGCAAATGATACTTGTGCATTTTAAATATGCATTTTAACAGAATATTAGCAGTAATTCTACTTGTAAGTTCTTTGTGGGAGGTACTAAATCTTCATGTTGTTATGAAAAAATTTAATGTGGTATTAGTTGTTATTTTATTTTATTTCTAATTAGCAGTTTACTGGTTTATAGCAATGCAAATAATGTCTTTTTAAAAGCCCCTTAGTTAATTATGGCATTTTTCTCTGCATAATATGCATACAAAAATATATATTTTATATATAATTGATTTTGAAATGGTAGAACACAAAATAATTTTGAAATATCCTAAATGAAATAACCTATTTTCTCCTTTTAATAAAAAATAAAGGTCCAGTGTGAGAAATCACGTGAGAGGCCCCATGCCCAAAGTGCCTCATGAGGCACCTCGCTTCCCAGCATGTCATTAGAGTCCTGCTCGCGGGCAAGGGGTGGGGAAAATGAGAGGTGCCCCATGCACCTCCTAGTGGCCGGTCATTTGGATGTTTTGGTTGTGACACCCCTGGCCTTCTATTATTATGATTATTGTCCCCCTCATTAATGCATAGAAGCCATTTTAATTCAGTAAAAATTATTTTTATATTTATTTAAACATTTACTATATCTAACATTTGATAATTTTCAAAGTAGAATTATAGTTTTATTTAAAATGTATTTTTCTAGTGGCAAAGTAGTTTCTTATCCATATCTGGATTTTTTTTAATTGCCTATTTATTTTCATAAATCTGATTGATATAATAAACCTGTCAGGACAAATATAAAAATATATATAATTTCTTCCTGTGTAATTAATTTAGAATAATAAAAGAAATAGTGTACCCTTTTATATGGTATTGTTTGTCTTTTTGGGTGTAATACTTGGCTATATTAAAAATAAACTTTTAGCCCTAGCCAGTTTGGTTCAGTGGATAGATCATTGGCCTGTGGACTAAAAGGTCCTGGGTTTGATTCTGGTCAAGGGCACATGTCCAGGTTGTGGGCCCAATTCCTAGTATGGGGTGTGCAGGAGGCAGCTGATCAATGAGTCTCTCTCACCATTGATGTTTATTTCTCTCTCTTCCTCTTCCTTGCTCTCTGAAATTATATATATATAAATTTTTATATCAGTTGGATTTATATAATTGCTCATCTAACTCACACAATCTAAGATCAGATATTATTTTCTGACAATAAAAATGCATAGCAAATAAGATCTAACAAAACTTTTTATTAGGTTTCATACATATTTGTTTCAATCTACCATTAAAAAGTATTCTCACTTTTGTACAGTTACTCCCCCTTATCCATTGAGGATATGTTGAAAGACCTCAAATATATGCCTAAAACTGTGGATAGTACCAAACCATTTATGCCATGTTTTTTTTAAAAGCATAAATACCTATGATAAAGTTTAATTTATAAATTAAGCACAATAAGAGATGAAAAATAACTAATAATAAAATAGAAATTATGACAATACTAAAGACCTGGTGCATGAATTTGTGCATGGGTGGAGTCTGGCCAGCCTGCCCCCTCAGGGCCTATAGGGCCAGGCTAGCCTCGGGGAGGGGCTGTGGATAGTTGGTGGGCTGGGCCCGCTCCCTATTGGGGTGTGAGGGTGCAATCAGGGGCAGGACTGGCCAGGGGGAGGGACTGCAGGTGGTTGGCAGGCCCCATCATCTGGTTAAACTCCTGGTGGAGGGGACAATTTGCATAGTAGCCTTTTATTATATAGGATACTATAATAACAGTTATGTGAATGGCATTAATTAAGTAAAATAAGGGTTTCTTGTCCGTAAACCCTGCAATATGAACAATCAATCAGATAACTGAGATAGTTATTAAGTGACTACCAGGTGGGTAGTGTATGCAGCATGGATACCCTGGCTAAAGGCATGATTCCCATCCTGGGTAGGAAGAAGCAGGATGGTGAGAGGTTTCATCACACTACTCAGAACTGATTATCTTAAAATGTATACAATATTTATTTCTAGAATTTTTCATTTAACATTTGACTATGGGTAGCTGAGACTGCAGAAAGCAAAACCGTGGATAAGGGGGACTGCTGTACTAAGTGGCCAGGTTTATGGCCTGGTATCTTGCTTCCTAAAACAAACTCCAGCCCTAGCCATTTTGGCTCAGTGGATAGAGGATCCCGGGTCCAATTCCCATCAAGGACTGGTACCTCGGTTTTTAGATTCCTCCTGCTCATGCAGGAGGCAACCAATCGATATGTTTCTTTCACTTCAATGTTTCTCTCTGTCTTTTCCTCTGTCTTCCACTCTCTCTAAAAATCAATGGGAAAAATATCAGGTGAAGATTAAATAATAAAATAAAATAAACTCCATTTCAATATAAAATATTTAAGTATAAATTTTTCCTTCTATCATTCAATTTGTCACTATCCTTATTTCTCAAAATAAGTCTTTAGTTTTGTCTGTGTTTAATAACTAAATCATTTGAAAAATAAGAAAACTTATTTGCTTGTTCTATAAATCATTATAAAATGACTATTAAAAGTGTCTATAATGTTCAGTAACAACACTTAGAAGAAGTAAGTTAACACTATTTTCTTAACCCATGTATCTCAATAGTGAGAGAAAACACCCAATGATTATTCTGATGATCTAGAATTAACTTGTCTCCAACAGCTGGTATAATTCAGAATTGTAATTTTTAAATTAAAAATTAATAGTTTTATATCAGAAAGTGGAAATATAATGATTCTGCCTTGTATCAGGGTTTCAGGTATTTAGTTCCCATGCTTTTTGATGTTATCAGGGTTTGTGCTGATACCATGTGCCAGCCCCACCATTCGGGTTACTGAACTTCCCATTTTGAATGTAGAGCAAAGAAAATGGCCTTCCCTGAGAGTCACCTAGGTTTACTTATGATATAACACATTGGGGAGTACTTTGGAATTAGTGTTGGTATCTACCAACAACCTCAGTTACTCACAGCTTTCAGTCAGTATTCCCATCATTCATAATAAATGGCAACAAAATATTCCAGGACTTGTGAAAACCCATAAGCATTTAGGAATTCATCATCGTTTTGTATGAAATATCAAATTGAAAGCCCAATAATGGCAAAAGTATTAGGTAAGTTCTGAGATATTATTTGTGTGAGAAACTTGTCAAAGAAATACTAATATTAATAAGATCATACAACAGCAAAATCTAGTTGAAAATAAATGAATGAAAGAAATGTATTTAGACCAACTATACTCAAGATATAAGAAAGCGGGTATACCAAAATGCATACAGGAACATGGAAATTAATAGTTTTATTGATGTTTTTATTAAAATGAAAAGTGGGGCATAATGTATTTCTTTTCACCATATACATTTTAAAATACAGAATATAATTGAAACACATTCATTATATCCTCATATGTGGTGTTCCTCTCACTTTCTTATTTCTTTGCTGTGGTTCTTTAAAGACTTTCCTGAATATCAGACTAGAGAGTGATGTGTAGGAACAAGATACACTAACTGAGAACTGAGCCTGAAGGCTGTAAGCAAACCATTTGCATCCAAGGATGGCAGATTTCTACTG